TCCATAATTTAAGTTCAAAGGACTTTTTGATTTGAGCAGAGGGATATATTTATATATATATATGTGTAAACTGGTATCAGGGTGGCTCTTAAAAATATTTTTGTTTTTAATCTTGAGCTGGTTAAAAAATATATATGTTTCAGTGATGTTAGGGTAGTCCTTGAAACAAAATATATGATTTTTTAATATATTAAGTTGGCCCTTAAAAATTACGAGTTTTAGTAGCTTAATTTTTTAAAGAATGTCTAAACCTAAATTTTATAAGGGCTGCTCTTAAAAAGAAGTGAACGGTTTTTCAATATATTAGAGTGGTCCTTAAAAATAAAAAATTAATGCTCTAAATATCGCACCGACTATATGTTAGTGTGGTCCTTGAATCAGAAAATAGTATTTCTGAGTGTATTAAGGTGGTTCTTAAAAGAAGAATATATGATATTAATATCTTAAACAAACTGGAGTGGTCTCTAGAACAAAGTGTAGAATTTTTTAAAATATAATTAATGTTAGGGTGAACCTTAAAAAATTGCATACTTAAAGTAAGTAAAATAAGTGTACTTAATATTATATCTCATATGTTAGAGTGGGTCTTGAATCATGGTGTATTGTTTCTCAATATATTAGGATGGTTCTTAACATAAAGTATATGATAATATTATCTCAGACAAATCTGAGTGGTTTCTAAACCAAAGTGTATATTTTTTTTTAATTTCATTCATGTTAGGGTAGACCTTAAAAAAATTTGCTATTTATTTTTAAATATATTAGGGTGATTTTTAAAAATAAATTCAACGTTTATGGAGTCCTCTCTCAAAAAGTACCGGTACAATTGATAAAATCATATACTATACACTTGCATTTATAAATTTATTATAGTAATTCGCACTGTTTCTAATCGATGCTAAATTTAATATTCAATATTTTCGCCTATAGTAACAGAAAGTAAGAAATAAAAAAAATTTTCTAGTATAGAACCACCCTATTACCTCTAAATATTACAATTAATCTCTTTCTCTTCCACTTCAACAAAGTAGTCTCGAACGTAGCACACAGCACACTGAGTCAAAACATCGGCATAACAGAATACCTACAAACATCTACTCTAAGCTCGGCTTACATAAATACTCTCTTTGTATCGTTATTTAATGCAGTTAGCACAATTTCGAGCACACGACTAACAAAGCATTGTCACCAAAAATACTATATAAGGTATAATTCATAGCGCTGGTGCGCTCTTATATAGTGGATTGCAAGTAAAATATTTAAGAGCATAGCAGAGATTTGTACCAACGAGTTATGTGTGATAATAGGATTCCCTGTGTGCGCTACAAATCGCGTACGTTATGTAACTATAATATGTAAATACAACAACATTTTCATTTATAGAAATTTGTACATTTTAAATAATGAGTTGCTAACGACAATTTCAGTCTTGATCTAAATTCAAAGTAGTTTTTTATATTTTTAATATTTTGTGAATATTCGAGCCTCTAAGTTCCAGAAATAACAGCAAATAAAAAAACGTTAACTACGGTTACCCTAAGCAATAGTACTTTTCATGTACAAAAGGATCCTTAAATATCTTGATTTTGATCGGCCAATTTGTGTGGCACCTAAAAGGCTATAGTGGTCCGATCTTAACAATTTCTTCTGAATTTCGTAAGGAAATCATGTCAATTACCAAATTTTCTCACTTGATTCTGGTTTTCAGTTTGTATGCCAGCTATATGCTATAGTGGTCCGATATCAGCGGGTCCAACAAATGAAAAACTTCTTATTCAGAAAAGAACGTGTGCACAATTTCAGACATATATTTCTTCTGAAATACCACATGTCTCAACAAACACCCTTTAAAATAATATTGTACGCAGGACTTGGATGAAACGGGTTTCTTTTTTTTTTTTTTTTTTTTTTTTTTTTTTTTTTTTTTTTTTTTTTTTTTTTTTTTTTTTTTTTTTTTTTTTTTTTTTTTTTTGTTATTGACAACTAATTTTTCAATACTTATGCATTTATTTGGTTTAAATTATACATATATATGGTATAAATTTTACAACATTCATAGTAAGTGAGTTAGTGAAAGTTATTAAAGCGAGACATAATGGATTAAAATGATAATATGATTAGACAGTAGAAGCAATTACAAGAGAGCCGCAGTGGATACCACATAATACATATATATATATATATACAAATCTATGAAGGCATTAGAGAAAACCTCATTTTACAGGCATAAATGTAAATATACAGATATATATGCATATACTATATATATATATATATAGGCATTTATGCCTGTAAAATGAGGTTTTCTCTAATGCCTTCATAGATTTGTGTGCCTCGCAATATTTATGGGTTTGAGAGACAAAATAATTCAGCAAAATGCCAACGCTTAGGTTCGAGTAAATATACCCAATATTATAAACATACATACATGTATTTGCTGGCTCCGTTTGCCTGACAAGAGCCGATTAGGGGCGACTGTGGCAATGCAGCAAGAGTTAGTAATAAACGGCTACAACAACAACAACAACAACAGCAAAAACAATAACAGAATTTATGTGCTATAAACAATTGAATTATGTTATATTGTAGGCAAAAGTATCAGCAGCTTAAACAACAATAACGACAACAGCCTAGCAACCAAGAGTAGGTGAGTTCACTACGCCTGTTAGAGTAAATGGAATATCCCCGGAAAGCTGCAGCTGGGACTCAATGCGACCAGACAGAACAATTGCTACCGAGATCAAGGTTGCTTGGCATGCACACACATAGTGACAGTAAACGGCAGTGTGAGTATAACTGAGCCGGCAGGCAGGCAGTCATTTATGCCCAGTGAGCCACTCATCCATTCATTCATTCATTGATTCACATTCATTTATACATTTAAGTAAACAATCTGCCAAATAACCAACTGGAGTGCAATTAAAATTCAAGAAAAGTTTTCGACAAGTATGCAGCAATATAGCTTATAGCCGGGCTTACAACTATTTATGTGTGTGAGTGACGTTACTAGACCCACACTTATGTATATAGTGAAGCTGGTAATACTCTAAACAGATAATAATTTTATGCTCGAGCACGCGACAACAACATGTTTGCAAAATCAATTAAACTTTTCGCCGATACGAAGAGAGCAAAGTGCATGGAAATTCTAAAGCAAACTAAGACAGCAGACACAAAGACATCAGTTGAGTAACCAAAATAACAACCACAATTTTATCAGTGTAACTGCAGCGAAAGTTTTGCCACCACAGCGTCGAGATAACGAACGTGAGAGCGAGCATGTGTGGGTGATTGTGTAGATGTGTAAAGGGTAAAGGGTAGCATAGTTGCTACTAAAGCTTGGCGAGGTAAGCGATTTAATTTGATGCGAGAATCACTTGCTACTCTTAATGTTGCTGTTTTTGTAATAAAAAATGTTGTTATTGGTGTTATTGTAAAGCAAATTAATATCGCGTGCACAGTTTTTTGTTGTTGTAAAATATTATTGTTGTCGTAAAAAGTTGTTGTTGTAAAAAGTTGTTGTTGGAAAAGATAGTTGTTGGAAACCACGTTTTTTGCAAAATATTGTTATTGTTGTTGTAGATAAAAAAAATGTTGTTGTTGTTGTAATGTTTACTATGTAGTTGTTGTAATATGAAGTTGTTGTAATCTACATTGTTGTTATTGCTGTAATCTAACGTATAATAGATATTGTTATTGTTGTTATTATATAACATTGATGTTGTTGTATTATATATGTACATACATATATATATACATATATATACATACATATATATACATATATGTTTTTCTTGTTGTTTTTTTAGCCGTTATTTTCGCTTTGTTGTAATTTTGTATGTTATTGTTGTAATGTTGTTGTAGTAATTTTATTGATATTATTTTTGTTTTAGTAGTAATTGTTGTTGTTGTTTTGGCTATTACTGTTGTTTTAATTATTGTTGTTATTGTGATTGTTGTTGTCGTTGTCATAGTATCCTACCCAACTAACTAATTCACAGCTGACATTCCATCACCATGGCATCCATTGCAACGCTTCACTTGCCCTATTTGTATGAGTACGCATGGATGTGTGTGTGTATAAGCATTTAAGGCATCTCACACATTCATACCCAACAATGTCAGCAATCCTATTTAAACAGCAGGAAAATAGCGTGGCATAGCAGAGTAACTAACACGTACTATACTTACACACACACACACATACACATACGGAATATTACATATATAGTTACATGCATGCGCGGAGCGGTGCATTGTTTTCGAAGCTTCCGCAAATTTTAACAACAGCAGAGGGATTTAAACGTATACTGAAGCATTTTGTTGTAAATATGCATGTATGTATCGATAAAACTCAAATTGTGTTTATGTACAGTAAAGCTGCAAAGTTTCTGGTGTCAAAGTGCACTGTAATGCCAGTTGTTACAGTTGAGGGCAAAAGGGAGATATCAAAGTTCTTTAAGTGATAGTATACGAGGATGTGATTTAGGGCTGTCAATAGAAGGTCTTATTGCTTATATTCAGGTCTTGTTCACTATATGTTTACAATTTAGGCAGTCATCGAAAAAAACCTCAAAACATGCTGTTGAAGCAAATGAAAGCTAAATTGTTGCCTACAATTAGGCGCCAACTTTCGTTTCATTCGACAAGTTAATGGGTTCTACTGGTTCTCAGACTATCAGATATCAGCATTCTGAGGATAGAAATACTGCCCAATATTAATATTTCTCAAAAGTTTAAGTTAAAGTAGAAATCTACAATTATAAAGCTTCAGGAAGCAATCCCATACGTATGTATTAAAATTGATTGATAATTAAATGGCATGCCATGAAGAGCAAGTACAATTTTTTCTATAGGGCTTCAACATAGGGTCTCCTATACATCAGCTATACAGTGCCAGTAAACACTTAAACTCGCATATATCACTTTATTTACTTCAAGTGCTGGCACTAGTTTAGTCGTATGTGTTTATCTTTAATTTCCATCCGGAATCTACTTACTTGGTGCTATGCGCTTCATTGTAGTTCATTAACAGATGCAATATTGTCTCTCGATACTCCAGCACATAGCAGACATTATTCAATAGCATATCGAAGAGGGCCAACGCGCGATCGTCCTTAACTTTCTGCAGCGCCAACAAACTCAACAACAATTCACGGAATGTCTGTAATTAAAAACAAAAGCAAAGAAAAAAAAAGAAATGAGAATGAATAAAAGTTGGGCGCAGGGCAAATCGGAAGCAAACTCCATACACCAACACGCTTACTTATTATATAGAATGTACTATGTATGGTAAATAAAGCGGTTGGGCAAATGGTAAAATAATAAACAATTAAGTATAGCTAACTTATAGGCTAGTCTAACGGCATTATGAGGAAAGTGTTGAGTGTACAGTAAACTAAAGTTAATAGAAGAAAATAATGACGAGAGACGGGAAATGCGAGATTTACTTACGCAGAGCAAAGAGAATAAGTAAAATCTTCTGGTTCTATAAAAAGAACTCGAAACTAAAAACTTAAAAATAAATTTCCGCAGAATAATAGCGGGATTCTGTAACCAGTCTCTAGTCTTCATTTCAGACATTTTGAGGTAAAATCTCAAGTTGTGACTTGAGTGTAATAATCATACCACTAGTTTTATTCGATAACTTGTTGCCATTTGGAAGGAAAAGATTTTGACAAAAAATTGGCACGATCTGGCTTGACTGAGGCAAATTTTTCACCAGAAAAATAAAACATTATAGACAGGAACAGTGATCAAATGATTCAAAGACTGCAATATAATAACAACCTCTAAACCAAGCACTCGGGGGTTCCAATATGTGTGACCTGGTGCTCTCCCGATGGAAAATATTTCCTATTCCTATCCCAGACTGTCAATCTCGGCTTAGCCGTCGTTCGCGCCGTTCTCTCTTGAAGATATTAAGTGACCATCGATTCATAACCAGCGACCGTACACTTCGGAAATAAATCGATTTTGTTGCAATTCGGCATCTTTTCGCACATAAAAATTCGGTCCATTGGGTTTATTGCGTTAATTTGGATCGACGGTGAAAGTCTTTTTGCACCTTACTTAAATGGTTTTTAGGCAAGCGAAACAGTGCTTTCGTGACAATCGGAGTCGTCGATATTTATCAATTTATCGATATTTTACGAGAAGCACAGTTTAAATCACAATTTCTTATATAAAGAGTGATCCATTTCAAGGTTATCTACTTACAAAAAAAACACAGAAACTTCGTTCGATAGAACATTCTTTGGCATTTAAATTTTGAGGACTATCTCTTACAAATGTTGCTCGCATCTACGTCTCAGATGGTCCATCCGTTGAGTCCAATTTTCGATGACTCGTTCGAGCTTTTCGACTGGTAACTGCCGAATGACAGACGTGATGTTTTTCTACAAGCCCTTAATCAAAGCGGGATTGCCCGGGTATACTTTAGACTTTACATATCCTCACAGAAAAAAGTCTAACTATGTGATAACACACAGTATCGGTGACAAATCGCCCGACCCAAAACAGTGTTCTCTGAATAAATAAATTGATTGATGAGATGTGTGAGAAGTGGTGCCATCTTGTTGTCGCTGAGGTCAAGAGTTTCAATTTCAAGCGCCAAATAGTCGGTTATCATAGCGTGATAATCGTTGCCATAGCCGGTTACTTTCTCACCGGCATCATTTTTGAAGAAATATGAGCCGATGATTCCACCGGACATTTGTCTTCAGGTTTCTTTTTGTCCCAAATGCGGCAATTTTGCTTATCTGCATACCCTTTGCGCGAAATAGGTTTAATCGATGAATAAAATTCGGCTCGAAAACGTGGGATCCTCTTGGAACTTTTCAAGAGCCCATAGAGCGAAGCGATGTCGCTTAGGAAGGTCGAACGGTTTCAGTTATTATACAAGCTATATTCTGGACGTTTTAATTTGAGATCTCGGCGTAAAATGCGAATCTCGATGTTCCATACGTCAGTCTGAACTGGTGCGAACGGCGCCGAATTGAACCTCCACGCATTTCTTGTACATTCTCAGCTACGGTTGCTATATTTTCTAGTGATGTACGTGGTATATTCGGTCAAATATTATCCGATAATTCGTGCTGGGTCTCAAAATAGATGGTAGTGTTGCGAATGGTATGCACAGTAGGCCGATTATGTTGACCATAAGTTGAGGGAAACGAGGGAAACACATTCTTTGCAGAACGACGTTTGTAAACGATGTGCAGGCGTAAGTACTTCCGTGATGAAATGTCCAACAATACTGAATAAAAATAACATGACAGTTTGATACGACTCACGGGGGTTCTGTCAATATAAGGCTATCGAAAAAAGTAACTTTACTTGGATCGAACGTTATAATGTAACTTAAATCATCCATTGGAAAAGTAATCGATTGCTTTTAATAGACCTTATGTGTTCAGATATATAGTATTTTAAGGCGATAGCAGAATTTTCTGACGATACTTATATAGATTCTTATTAGAAATAGATTTTATCATTTCAGAATTCAAACTCAGAAGCTTTCAGATTACTAGATTATTATTGAGATCGTAAGTAAAGAAATGATAGAAAACATCAATAAAATCAATAATAAATAATTGTGTTCATTTATTGCAACAATAATTTTCGTTCCGACCTCTTGATTTGATTTTACGAAAAGTAGAAAACATTAGAGGAGTCCAAAGTGACATTCAACCAAAAAAGCAATTTGTCGGATAAATATGACATGAGCATATGATATGAGCATAGCTTCCTCAAACTCGGTATGAGTATAATATTTCCTGTTTTCAAATACTAACGAAGTTTGGGTGGAATAGACAGTCACTTAGAGCAAAATTTATTTAGAAAAGTATTGGCAGTTTGGTGGAAGTACCACAAAATTTTTGTTGAACACCGAGAAGTCAGCTCCTAGTTCATTAGTTTGAAAACTAAAGCAAAACTTTTGTACACCTTGAAGTTATGTAAGAATAAGAGAATATAATAGTGAAGAGGAAGAACGGTACAGTCTCATCAAAGATAACAACTAGTTGAGTTGAAATTTATTACCGGATTATTTTATGCAAATTGGCATTAGATTCGCTCAATCAAGAGAATGTTAGCTTCGCAACCCCAATCCACCCAGACACCGCGCAATCTAAGATGTAAAGGAGTAGAAGATATAAAGGTGTTGTTTTACAATAAAACTACTTCACGAACATCTAATTAAGCAAAACGTCGCTAAAGAAGCGGAAGTAACAGTACTGAAGGATACGAGCAATTGTGCGCATTTCTAATGAGTAGCAACCAAGACCCAAGACAAGCCAGGCGTTAGTCAAGCTATGCGAAGTAGTGCAGCAGCATGTCAAGTACTATTCACTCAAAGAGAGTGGGGTAAGCCAAGTGGTGATATATCGGGTATGAGTTAAAGAAGTTCAGATGCGATCCAAAGCCACTTATTAGACACCTGTGTAGTAAAATATGTGTTATGTGAGTTGGTAAGCGACAGCGTTGTACTAAGTATTAATTAACACAAGACCCGGTGCCGAAGACATGCGCTGAATTCGATTCGTGTTAATGAACCAGTGCGACGGCAACTAGCAAGCTTGTGGAAGTACATACTTGAGCAAATTTCGATGCTATCAACGGCGGCACGGTAAAAAGAGCAGCAATCGACACCTAATCCCAACGTGGGTTAAGTACCGGCGGGGCGGCATTGCGGCACGTAAATGCAATGAACTGCAAAGCAGCTTTACTTGGTAAATAATCTCGCTGTAAAATGCCACACGTGACTTTGCCTTAGTAAATAGTTGTAATTTTTTCGTGCTCTGAAGTATTTACAAATTACATAACAGGGTGGTCCCTATAAGATTTGGTCTAGCTGAAACAGGGCAGGAAAATTTTTAGCTGGTTGGAAATTTTTCCCTTACCTCGTCACAGCAAAACATATCCCTTTAGAGATGAATAAAAGTTAAAAATATTTCCAAGTGGGGATCGGAGAACCCGTGAGTGACTCCTAAAATCACTTACAAGATTTTGAAATACCATTCCCAGTGCTTCAAAGGCATACTAAAAAATATTTTAATGGAAATCAAAGTAATGACAATCGACGATTTTCACATCTAGCCATTGGACGGTGATCCATCTTGAGATTCAGCATTCATTATTGGATAACATTCGATCGAATAGACCACGTCCAGCACGCTATGAAGAAAATATAGCGGCCGTGGAAAATCGATTTGGCGTCGGTCGCATCAACTCGGACTGACCTATGAAAGGAGACTTGGCGCATTTTGCGTCGAGATTTTAAGTTAAATCGTACAAAATACAGCTTGTAGGAAAGCCTGAAAGCCGATGAAGCCGATGCCTGAAATTGAAGCTCTCGTTCTCGGCGACATTTGATTTAAACAAGACGGCGCCACTTAACACTCATCGCATCAATCAATGGATTTTTAAAAATAATATTTCGGCGAGCAAATAATTTCACGWTTTAGGCCGGATTGGCCAGCTAGATCGTTTGACTTACCCTATGGATATATGTAAAGTCTAAAATCTACGCGGACAATACGGTTTCGATTCAGGCTTTGGAGCAAAACATCACGCGTGTCATTCGCCAGTTACCCTGGCCGGGCTAGACGTACTTTTATTGAGTTCGAAGTAGGACCGATGTTATGCCAAGGCAATATCAACAATTGCCCATCATACAACAACAATTGAGATCCTTGCGGCGTACAATACAACAGGGATAGAGTGAAAAGCCTGGAGCGAAGTCTTGGAAATTTTTATTAACCGTAATAATAGAAAGGTCTGGGACGAAATCTTCACAAAACATGTTATGGTTCACCCTATATATATGTAAATATTATATATTCTCTCCATAGTACGACTATTTGCTGCAGCAAATTCTTTACTTTTGTTGTAATTTTTAGCAGCATACGTCAGTCTCGGTCTTTTTCGCTTCCTCCTTAATGCTTACACACAGCACTTTGACTAGTTTGAGTAGTGAAATTCCGATTTTTCTTGTTTGCTGCTGCCAACTTCTTTGCAACATTTGATTTCTTAACATACTGAAAGAAGCGCTGCTGCTTCTGCGCTTTCACTTAATAACCGTAAAATGTGATAAGTCACTACTACAACTCTTCATGTTGCTTGGAAAAACTCCAATGTAGCAAGCGCACAAATACACACACTCACCTAATATTTTAGGCAAGGAGTTGTGCGAGTAAATTTGTGGCAAGTTGCATCAACATTTAAAATTGCCACAACAACTCGGAGAGCAGCGGGAAATAGGAAGTGGCGAAGGTAAGTAAAGTGATGAGAATGAGAATGAGCAGCAAAAAAATGAAGGCGACAAGTGAATTTTTGCGCTCGAAAAAAAAAGAGATGAGCTAGCAGAGAGCAAATTGTATACACCAAGGTGCGTGATGAAATCTCTGGTATTCGCAACAGGCAACAAAGCAAATCACAAATAGTACAAGTAGCAAATGGCGGAAAATGGAAGAATGTATAACAAAGTAAAGGCTGGCGGTCTGATGGTGCATAAAACAAGTCACCGAACGAGATCACAAAAACACGGGTGATGATGGAACTATCCGCATATTTCAAAGTCAAAAATGTTCATTAGAAAACTCTCCGATATCCCTATCTTGAATAGTATATGCGATGTGTTAGAAGCTAGATGATATTTTCCGGCCAATGGACGTATGATATGGAATCGTAAATAATAAATACTTGAATAAAGGATAAGGTTGCCTCCAGGATGTCAATATACAATCCCTTCCCATGGAAGACACTCATGAAATGAGTCGGTAGACGGATTGAGAACGAAACCTAAAGTTTTGTATACACTCTACCTATTTTTCAACATTAATCACCTACACATAGTACATCTGCATATGTAGGTACAAAAAGGGGTTTCCTTGCAAGCACCCCCTTTCATGCAATTGTCTCAAGAAAAAATTTCTATCTAAGTGTCTCTCTCGAAGTTCAATTGGAGATTCCAAGTGTAGCCAAGTAGATTCCACCAGGTCGTTTAAACGGAGTGGAGGTTTTCCTCTGTTGTCCATGGACTGCGGTTTTCGGTGTTGCCAATGCGCAAAGAACCATAAATCTTCCGCAGAAAATTTCTCTTGAAAACTCAACATCTTATCGGCTGTTGCCATTGTCCATACCTCTGCACCATATAGCAGGACTGGGATGAGGGGTGACTTTACTTTTCAATTGCCTACTCAGTCCGAAGTAGCACCTCTTGGCAAGAGTTATTCTTTCTGGATTTCTACGCTGACATTATTGTTCGTGTTACTGGTTCCAAGATAGACGTAGGTATGACTGTCAGCAATAACGTGGTAGCCAAGTCGCGAGTGGGACGACTGTTTGCTTCACTCCAAGAGATATATCGTCTTGCCTTCGGCAGATTTCCTCTTGTCTAGGAAATAATAATTCTTCGAAAATTGCGTATTGAATTAATACGAATAGTAGAAATAGTAAATAGTAGAAGTACCAAATGGCAGGTAAGCGATGAAAAGCAATTTTTTTTGCAAGTTAATTTTTTAATACAATGGGTCGAGCATCACTTTGTTTCAGATCGATCCTCAATTGCTACCTTTCGAAATTTGGCATCATATTTTCCCACTTTTCTTCCGGGCGGTTCCTATAGATGCCCTGTGAGTTATCTGATAATCTTGGCATATTTTATATCATTCATTTTCTTCGTACGACCTGCCGATTTGAAAGGCAACCGCAGAGAAAAAACTGATACAGTACATAGATTGAGAGCGCGATGTTAAGTTATTCGAGAAATTTCCATCTTACCACTTATTTTCCATGTGGAAGATGGAGCCATGTGTAGAAGTTCACGCAAGTGAGAAAAGTTCTCTGAGCGTCATTCCCTTTGGAGTGGTCAGAAATGATTATTTTACAGACGGCTCAAGCAGCTCACGAATTCTGACCTAGACCAAGCCTCCTTTGCATAGCACAAAACCATTCATTTGAAGGCGAGCTGAAGTGAGAAAGCGAAATATCCCTTGCAGGGGTTGTGCGATGTCTTCAATCAAGTGGTCGGCTATAATCGCTTAAGCTTAAGTGTCCACGACAATAAAGAAGAAAGGCTCATTTTCCATGTATGGTATTTCCATATATAAATGGAGTTTTCCTCGGTTTTTGTCTTTATTCTGGAATGTTTATTTTGATAAAACTTTGGAAGCTCGAGGAAGTTGAGGTATAATATATTTGATGCCTTCTCTCAGAGCTTCATAGATATTAAACTCAAGCAACCTAAAAACTTTTATTTAAGCACTTCTACTGCTCAAATATAATATCTTATCGGAAGTAATAGTTTAGCAAATGATCTGGTATTTAACGGGTTTCTCGATTTGAAAAGCTGTCAAAAGCTTTTAAAGATAAGTGATAAGCGCAGAAAACATTTTTGAGCTTAAAGCTTTTGACTTTTCGCGGCAAATGTATGCACCAAACAAGCTGGGAAGCTTAAAGCCCTTTTCACGTGACAAAATGTTTATCAAACTTTTTTGGGGGTTACTTGATCCTAAATGCTTCACAGTAAAACTTTTTTAAAATCCGCCTCTGCCGAGAACTTTTCAACACCAGACAAAAAAAAAACCATGGAGTGCAACTAGTTTTACTCGTATTAGACGCACACATTATACCATGCATTTATAACTACAAGCACATACATAAATTAATATATTTTCGAGTGGGTACTCACCTGTAGTGCGACATGTAAGCGTTTCGCCCAGACGCGCGCCTGCTTCTTGTCGCTGATAATCATGTCCATATCATGTTGCATACGCGTAAGCACCCAGTGAAAGCACTGCACACTCAACGACTCGCTGCAAGTAAATACGAAGGAAAATAGGAAGTACCGTTAGCTAACTCATACATATGCATTAAGCAGCGTAAAAATGCACAAAGACGAGAAGTGTAAAAGTGTGGAAAAGTGAAGTAATGAGTTTAAGTGTTAAGAAATTAAAATTCAAATGCAACAACAAATAAAAAGAAGCAACGAAGTCGAGTCGCTGCGCGAAAGTAGAACTTCTCAAACGTTGCATTTGCCGACGCGTAGCTGCGGGGGAGCGCGCGGTAAGTGGCAAATACTTTGTAGTAGTTGAAGTCATTAACGAAATTACAGAGAGATACGCATAACGGTGCATACTTCAGAGCGCAGCTGATAGACAGGTGAGTCTCGACGAAGCGCAACATCTGCTCGAGTTGCTGCGAAAATGAGTCGAGGATATAAACGAAAGAAGGGGAAGAGAACTCCACGTTTGCGGTAATTACTAAAATATTTAATCCGTTGGTTGGCAGCAAAGCAAATGAAATGAGTGCAAAGAAATGGTGGGGAAAATGGTAACTGGAATTTACGGAAAACCATGGATACGTTACTTACTTTGAAAATACTTGAATAAGCGCTCTAAAAACTCAGAAAAGGAAACTATAACACCGAAATGAAAAAAATTTTGCTGTTCTACCAACTTCCGGTTACACCGGAATGAACCTAAACACTTTTATATCGCTCATGCCAGCAGAGGGTTTCGGCAAAGGAAAGAAAATGTCGTCTCAACAGATGAAGGCCCTAAAGGAAGACACAACACAAACCCACCTTTCAAGGGACGGCGCTATGAAGAGGGTTAATCAAGAAACCAGTGGCTGACAGCTCGAAAACACCGGAAGGCATTTAAGTGGGCATTGCGGGGAATTGTATAGGAAGGCTGTACCGCCTATCATGATGGTGCCAGAACCATGCATTGCAGTACAGTTCTACACTATAAAGCAGTTGCTCCGCATGGAGGAGAGAGTGTGATAAGAACAGCATTGACAGCAGGTAGCAGGAATGCACCATGTTAAACTACTTCTAGGATGGTACAACCTTGCAAAGTTTAAGGAAATTATCAACTTCCCCCGATACAAATTCCGACTCCTTGTCACGCTCTATACAGGACACTGCAGGCTCAGAAAGCACTTGTCCAACATGAGCATAGTCTCTTGCCCAAACTGCCGGATCTGCGACATGAAACAGAAAACTTCAGAAAATTTGATTGTGGATTGCTCAGAAATTTGGAGAAGCAAGCTCAAGGCTCTAGGTTTCATCTACGTGGATCCCTGTCCACATCACCTTAGTCGCGCCCAGCAGGTTCCTGGAATTTTTCAGGATATTGAACTTTTGTAACCATATGTGATATAAGGAGGACATGATAGACCATAGGTCGCAGTGCAAGAGCTCAATTTTCCTATCTATCTATCTATCTGTTTATTACATAGAGTAACAGGTGAGAGAGAACCTCCCCAGAAGTAAACTAAGGAATGGTTCCATGCAGGAACTGGAAAATTAAACAAGCTTCTTGGTATAAAAATTGCTTGATTTTAAAACTACTCATACGAACCAGACGCTCACTGTACGGGGAGCCTATAAAAGAATGTTCTCTTGTAAATTTAAAGTGGTGAAATTACTATGGAATAATGATCCCAGAAAAATTGAAATGTTTTTGTGAAAAGCCTGAAGAGTCTCTCTTGTATCTAGTTAAAAATCACTTATTGGAATTCTTTATATTCCCAAAGTGTTATTAGAAATTCAAACCTACCATCAATACTGAGCGTTAAAAGCAAATTATTCACTTTAGAAAGCTTTTGATTATTCACGCCATTATAAATTATTCAGGTACTAAGCCAACGGGGGGCGCGAAAAATTTATGATATTAGGATAAATGTGAGACCGATCGAAACCGCAATTCTTTTTCAGACCAAGGTTGACCAAGCCACTACAAAAACGTCGGAGGTAAGCACAAAATCCCCAGAGATAAAGCCAAACCTTGCCTTGCCTCAGCAGAAGAGACTTTGAAACCAAAAGATCACAAAGCAGCTAACCTTCACAAACTAAACTCGTCTGAGCTCCTAGTAAGTCATGCAGACAAACAGTTCGTAGTAATTCTAGGCCTAAATCGTCTCCTTATATCGAATACAAGGCTCAATCGGATGGGTTGTGTATAGAAATTGTCGACACGATTCTTTCGACAAATCAAAACTAAATTTATTGGGTTGCTCGAGAGAGTAGAACTTCCATAGATCTTTGTGCCTAACACCACCTAAATTGTCATAAGGTTTTCGACTTTGAAACGGTCAATGCGATACTGGATGAGAGCGGCATCGACGTTTACTCGTATGATAGACGTAACGTAACGTATATGTATTTCTCCAACTTGCAAAGCTTTCGGTTGCCTAAACGCTTACTTCCCTCGAGACACTCACACCGAATGGTTACAAACTTTATAGCGTTCCATCATCACTGCGCCACGATGAACCGCACAATCGAACAATGCACGAAACAAATTTCACTGTTATTGTACACAAATTTTGTCAGTTTTTAATTTTATTTTTTGTTGAAAAATTTGCAAGAAAATTTCTTGTAGAAAATGACTAAACACAGTGGTTAGCACGCAGCGCTCTGGTGGAGGAACTTAAGGAAAACCCCTAAACAAATTGCATTAACGCCGACAGGCAAAGTTTTGCAAACTACAAGCAACAACCAGTTGGCTGCCCACACAAGACTTTCCTGCCGAAGTTTTCCACAAGTGGGTGAGCCAGTCGTCAGAGCGGGTCTTAGTCAATTGGTAGACTTCATAACTATTTGGCACAGTTGAGCGAAGCAATGTCACGCAACAAGAAACGAAACGAAAGGAATAAATAAACGAATGTAGGAGTTGCTGGTTGTAGCTGAGGGCGCCTAGGGTACAAGTGGACCATGAGCAGTAGCGAAATGACAACATTTTTGTAAAGCTTCATTCTTGTCATGTAGAAACTAATTTGCAAGTAACCAAAACAATTTTGAAGATATTTGCGCAATGCCACCAAAGCAATAGGCAGGCAGGGCTACATGGAATGACAAGCAAAATAGTTTTCAAGAAACTTAAAAAAAAAAATAGTTTTTTAATACTCTGAAAATTTCAACCTTGGCAGCCGAAGAGGAAGAAATGGCAAAATAACTAAGTGAATTGTCTACTGGCTAACGGAAGACGCTCGGAACGTATGCGCGCCACAACAGCTGAAGGTGTTAAAGACGAAGACAACAGAATGCCCGCATAGTGCAGGAAAATTGGCGAAATTTCGTTAGCTTTGAATGAACCAAATAACAGCACAACAACAGTGGACAACAATGGAAAGCGTCAGAAAATAAATAACAACATTCAATGCGAGAGCATGATGAACAATGCAACCCTGTAGAACAAGTGCAACCATCAACAGCTAGCGCCGAACTACGCACAGCGGCAGCTGCTCTTTGTCCGCCTGATTGCCTCGTCGCCGCCATGTCTATTCTCTAGCGTAGCGTTTAAACAATAAAACTATTGTTGCTCCTGCCGGAAAGGAATAAAAACAAAAATATTTATCAACTTTTCACCACTTTCATTACGCATTCTCTTCTTCTACTGGCCATAACGATGTTTTATGGAGCGTTCATGGTAGAGTGACCAGCAGTTGGGTGAGCCGGCTGGCAGTATTGTGGTTGGCTAGAAAATCGGATGCGAGTGAAAGCATTTTGTCTGAAGCTTCCGCTCGCGTACTAAATAAATTTAACATAGCCAACCGACAATAAAATCTGACCGAGAAGGGCCAAAGGCGCCTTAAGCAAACAACCGAGCTCGCTTCCCTCAAACATTATGGTAGTCTAAAATTTTCTTTACAACTTTGTTAGTCTGACTATGAGCAATGAATCCTTTGGTGGTTATGTTGGTATACTCATGACACAGTGTATCTGAAAAGTGTTAAACATGAAATTAATATGTAGAAGGGTATGGTTTGGAAAACAAAATTATTTTCGTGGAGGGATTATGATGGATTTTGGTAAATAGGTGCTATAATGGAAGAATCAGTGAAAACTGAACTAAAAAATCATTTGGACCTAAGAAAAATGAAAGCACGGTTGGTACCAAAATCAATAACATTTTTAAAAACAAAAAACTGTCGCAATAAGGTGTTTCCGATTACCAGAGGTCATGAAAGGTTTCATTAATGGGGATAAGTCTTGGATCTATGCTTACGATCCATAAATAGACGATCAGTCGGTCGAATCTAAAGGTAAAAGTGAGCCGACGCCGAAAAAATCAATTCAAATCAAGTCAAAATAAATGTCATGTTGCAGTGTTCTTCGATTATCGAGGTGTGGTGAACTCGGAACTCCTTCCGACCAGCCAAACTGTCAACAAAGACCACTACTTTAGTGTTATACGTCATTTGCGCGAAGCTATTCGTAAAAATAGGCCGGAATTATGGGCCGACAACTCTTGATTTTTGCATCACGATGGCTTAAGCTTTTCGCCGAATTTTCTACCAATATGTATATTTAAGAAAAATAGGTACAATAGTATTATTCAAAGTATTCCTCATCTGAGGTTTTAACACTTTCCTATTTTTCTTACAATTTGTGGATTATATTCTATTTTGGAAGAACTGAGTCGGCTTGGCGGCTAAGAACGAATGAAGCCGATTTTGGGTATCCTATTCTGATGTTAACTCTGTTCTGGTGAGGGAGTTCTGGAGGGGTATGGTGTGGGTTATAAAAGGATGTGGCAAAACTTCTCAACCATTGTTCTTCAAATATGTTTAACAGCCGAGAGTTGCCACGAAGGAAAATTTTTTTCCTAATGTTTAGTTGCAAATTCTGAACATTTGCGAGCAATCGCTCGTTATATTTTGATGAGTTTTTGCGGTATCGTTCCTTGGCAACGGTTTCATCCAGTTTTAGAAGCCATAATACAGAAGAGCACGACCTTGCGATCCCACCAAATACAGATCATTGCCTTGGCGTCATGGATATGCAAATTGGCTGTTGATTTGGCTGGTTGACCAAATTCCACAAATGTGTTGTCGTAATGAATTCATGTGTTATCACTAGTCGAAATACGATACAAGAACGACTTCTTTTTATAGCGTTGAAGCAGCATTTCTGTTATGCAAGACCGTCTTTCAACGTATTTGGCTTCAAAACGAATGACTGAATGTTTTGAAATGTGTGTTCGAGTGACTCCCAAAGATTCTGAGAGCTCTTCTTGCGTTTGATAACAATCTTTATCGAGTAATTCTTCCGTTTCCTCAACGAAAGCGTGTTCACCATACACTTCCACCAAAATACGATGACTTTCGGATGAGGTTTTCTTCAAATTTAAGCGCACCTCGACATATTTAAATGAAGAACAACTAAATTGTTTATACTGAAAAAAGGCACAAGGATAATTTCTTTCCAACGCAATAATCCATTTACACCATCTCTTGTCAAAATACACGACTATAGTATAGTCCCAACGAGTGGTACTTTTCTGAACTAAGATCATTTTTGACTTTAACTTCTGTATAACTATGTGTCGATAACTTTTTTTATCTGTCATCTCAAATATAGATTTTAAAAAAATAGGTACATAATATTTAGCTACTAATAAATACTACATATTATATTTGAGATCTTTCCATCCATAACTCGTAGCCCTTATATAATAAGGAGAATCGACTATTTAATATAAAATAATAATAATTAGCACAGCTGGTGCTAGGTTATGCCGGAATAGACTTCGGCCCTTATCCGATCAAATACTGTGTTTTTGGCGATCTAACTCTATTGGGAACGATAAGTAGTACGAGTAATACTGTTTGATGTTCCAATATATTACCATCCATAAAACTTCTTGGGAGAGTGTCGAACTCGGTGGAAATATATGGACTGTATTCTTCTAAACAATGGTTTTTAAGGGTCTTCAATCAAAAATCGCAGTTATTGTATAATATCAATTGGAGTATAAAAGTTTCCATAAAATAACAACTGAGCCAAGGGTTCATTATGGGGTTTTACCTCATTCAAGGTCCGCTTTTCAGCACTAAAGAATAAAATATTTTGAATAGTTCTTTTTTTCACGGTACGACTGAAGAACAGACAAAGCAATTGCTATCTTATCGACGAACAAAACCAAATTTGTAGCCTAGACAACAACCGGCAGAGTCAAACAAAGCCAAAAACCCGTCGAGTTGCATTCCAGTTTCAACTCGATTTAAATTCGATTAAGAGGCAGGCAAACCAATTTCTCCTTCATTTTTGACACATTCGAAGAATCTTGCTCAATTTACTCTTTCACAATATATCCTATACGTAAGATATTATACTTGATTACAAAAATCTGCACGAAATATTGTGTTCCATACTTTTCGCACTGTACATAAAACGGGAAGACTATTTGCCACAACATTGGCAACGGCAAATGCACTTCTCCCTTCAACTATCAATAAAATAACACCAGCTATGCAACTGTTGGTACTGCACAAAATAGAACACTTAAAAATTGATTACATTCTTTGAGGTTATGTCATAAAAACAAGAATTTAACACTCGCACTCACAGCGCAACGCCATTCGCGGTGAGCGTAATGCAACAAAAGTGCAACTTGAGACAATACCAAGACACTTAAATGTGCTTTACGACATCGCCAGCGAAAAAAATACGAACAACAAAAATTACAATACGAAGAGAATTTTTTCGGAGAAGAGCGAAATACGCAAAAAATTTCTGCACTTAATTGCTTCCAAATAAGAGCATTGAAGGACGGCGACTAGAGTCAACAATGACCAATAAGCTGATTTCGCTTAAGAAAAGCTCAACGGCAATATATTGTATATATGTAGACTTGACTACCGCTATCGCAATGAAAGCAATACTTATCATTGTCAGACAAAGCGGCGCGTGGCCAAACAGTCGGGCGCACATCAGTCAAACTTTCAGCGTGGGCAGTCTTCAAAGCTTTGTATACTCGTATAACCACAATTCTTTATTCGAGTCGCATTTTCTGCGATCTTCATACTCACCTCACCAACTCCAGCTGCATGCCGCTCAACCGATTGAATTCCATGAAAAATCGTACCGCCCACAGAAGGTACGAGTCATCATGGTTGTCAGTGCCGGCGTTACGTTCTAGCACACGCCGCACCTGGCGCACCAGCGTGTTGTAAGCCGAGCGAAGGATCTCAATGCAGAACTCGCGCAGGCACAAACTGGAAATATACAAATAATACAAATAAATTATAGCAATAATAATGAAAGAATGAAGGGAAGAAAATAAAATAGGAGCATCCGAAATAAAAGTGCTGAGAAAATGAAATTACAGCGAAGCAAATACAATAGAAATGCAGCATAAAGGTATAACTGTGAATAAGAATGAACTAAATTCAAGGAATAAAATCGCGTTCAAATCAGATTGCCAGTGTGGTTGTTATGAGGAGGGGGCGGGGTTTAGCCAGCTTAGCTTGTTGCATGATGGAGATTTGTGTTGCTGTTGCCACAACGACCAATCGACGAATATGAATGGAATGTGGAACTAAGTATAAATAATATAAATAAATGAATGTTTAGCATGAATAACGGATTAAAGGGCAAACAGCATTTACATAGATAAGTATGGAATTACATATATGTACATATGTGAGTATTTAGGTCGGAAAGTTGAGGCAAATAAATTGGTTTATGTAATATAATTGTTTTATTATTGCACACAGATAAGTTGGGTTATGTTCTTACAGCTGCGGCAAAAGAGCTTAGAGTTAGAGCTTAAGAAGGTATGTATTACTAAATTCGGAACAGAATTTCTTCGTTATATTTATTAAAGTATTTCGTCAAGGAAAGTATCAGGTATCTCCCTTTTAGATTGACGCTATAAACGCCTAAGCAATTTCAACCGCAATCTGGACGTTAGGACCACTTCTCATTAATAAATGCACTTCAAGGCCTCGAATCCTGCTCATTCAAGATATACCTGTCAGGAATAATTGTTGTTGTAAAGATTATCAAAACCCTGTTTGTGGGAAAGTAATATGTTAGCTGTCATCGCTTAATAGCACACAGTCCCGAGTACGGTATTTTGCCAAGTCTGTAGCTTCTCCATCTCCATCCTGCTGCATCCAGGCGGCTATATTGCGGCCGCGTAGTTAATGATCGGCCAATATACGCTGTATATTGTCAACAACTTCTCTATGCCTTTGCCACAAGTGTTGTCGGCCAGCGACTTGAGGATCTTGTTGCATCGCCGTAATTTCGTGACACTCGCGGAGTGAAGGAGTGCAGACTGTCAAATATAACACATAAAATTTCAGGGTTGTTTACTTTCGAAATTTTTAACATCATCGACGAAAATATTGAGATCCAGTCTGTACACCTTCATTTAGAAGTCCACTGGTTTTTATCAGAACATTTTTTTTTTCTGATGTCAACAAGTTTTGAGTCTTTGTAATCAAAGATCTCAACAATTTATGGCAAACAACGCGTACGGCACCTAATAAGGAAGATTTGAAGCAAACTGTGTAGCATGGTGGTAATGGAGCAATGTTATGGTGTGAGCCGAATGGTATTTATAGAAGAGTCCACCATGGACAAATATGGATAACTTAATATCTTGAAAGTAAATTTAAAGCAAAGAAGAATTGGCTCTAGGAAGTGACTAACATTTTTAACAAGATGAGGAACCAAATCATACAGGAATCATAGTTAAGCTTTGGTTACTCTATCAAACTTCTACGGAATTATATGAGGAATGGACTCAAATCTCTTCGACAGAAACATCTATGGTTGCCTATGCCACGCTAAAATTCCTAATGAAATTTTTAAACTGTATTAAATATCCGAATTTTTATTAAATTTTAAGAAGAGTTTTGAGATTTTGCAACATCAGACATTCCACTCACAAATAAACAAATGATATTCTTTCAGAATAAACCATACATAGGCAAGGTCCATGGTGGTAGAAGATTTTGTGATACTCCGACACTCTCATATAAAGCAAAAGTACACGATTTTGAAACGAGAAAAAATATAATCGCGTGCTTTGAAATTCTCGGAAATCGATAGATCCAAAACTGATTTCTGCAGATAACCACAAATATATTTCTTACAATTGAACAGCCGCCAAGTGCTCTTTAAAACAAAAATAATAATATATTATATTTGATTCAAGCATTGTGTCATTCTCTCCACAGAACTTTTAAATTTATCTCATCAAATTTTAAAGGCAAACATTAAAATCAATAATAATTCTTTTTTATCTCTTAAGCACTCGTTTGCAGTGAAAAATGCAGAAAAATACCATAAAGAAAATTCACTTTAAGAATTTTCCATGCTTTATTAAATTCTGAATTTTAAATGGCGCACTTATCCTCAACCAACAAAGATTAATGCTTCAAGGTCAAGCAAAGAACACTCGCAGCGATATACGATATTTTCAGAGCGATTAAAAATGTATTAAAAAGGAAAATGAAAATATAGCATAAAGAGGAAGTGAGAAGAGCAAAAGCTTATTTACGAGTATTTTCAAATACTTCAACTGCACATGTGCCGTTAAAATGGGGCTACGTCGGCGGTAGAAAATGCGATTGAGGGGTAGGACTTTCAAAATTGTTAGCACTTGCGAAGTATTGTTATAGGTGGCCTTTTTTTCATGACTTTTCATTAAGCTTTTCAGAAGGTTTAGTAAATGTGATCCGATCTGATCACACTCCATCAAAAATAAATAAAAAATATTTATTGTACTATTAATATTACATAAAATATGCGGAACAAAATTAAAAGTATTTGTTTCAATATTGTAAAATCTCGTTACCTTTAGCTTTTTTATATTTGTACGTACATTTTCTTATATTGAAGTCCTACCCCTAATATTAATATCTGCTGATCATTATGTGGAAGTGGAAGCTGCTATGAGTGTGGCGATTTTATTTGTCTTCTTCAAGAGGATAAATATGAAATAGTAAATAATAAAAGTGAGCAAACGTACTGACTGTATCTTCCTTTTGTTGCACAATGAAGAGGAAGAGTCAAATAAAGACATGTATTATGTGTTAGTAGAAGTCAATGCCAAAGGCGGCCAACGATGTTGCACAAAAAAAACGAAATAAGTTGAAAGAAATCCATTGAAAAATAGTGGAAACTGCAGCAAGAGGTGTAAATAATCATAAACTGATTACATATATCAGAGGGTATATCTACAGGGTTTATCGATTTTTGATATTTTCTACAAAAACAAAACAAAAAAGTTCATGCAACAAAAGTAACATGGAAACGTCTTTTAAACGGTGCACAGTATGGCTAATAATTTTAAATATACTTATACTTTGATTCAAATGCTGAGATTAAGTTGGCAGTAGTTATCGATTATCTCAGTACTCATTATGAGGAAACAACTTGCCGGTATTCCAAATATCATGCTCTTTAAGGGTAATTAGTACAAAGATCTATTTTCGAGATCCAAGATATTGTAATAAGCATGGCTAGAGGGCGTGGCTAGAGGTACTTTGTCTTCCTGTTAGTTAGTTCTGCTTTCAAGCAGAGCCAAGCAAAGCAAATGGGTCTGATAATGAATAGGAATAAGACGAAATATCTCCTGTCACTAAACAAACAGTCGTCGTAATCGCACTTGGCTAACACGTCACGATTGAGAGTCACAACTTCCAAATCGTAGATAATTCGATACCCACCGAGGGAAGCAGAGAAAGAAAAAAGGCTCACTCCGTTGGAAAGACCAGTTGGAAAAGGACCTGGCTACAATTGGAATCTAAAATCGGACTGGCACGCTGTTGTCTACTCGGCTTTAACCCCATAAGCGTTGTCTACGCCAATAAAGAAGAAGAAGAAGATACCAACTTCTAAAGCCTCTTGGGTTGACAAGGTTTTGGTTACACCAAACGAACGTTGCAACTTTATTTTACCCATTCCGAGTGAATTACAGCCTTAAAGTTCTTAATGTGGGAATCTAGCAGCAGCAATCGGCTTTCTACAGCATTTACATAGGCAGAGGGCGGAACGTTGGGTTTGGTTTTGGGGCTGATCTACGCAGCGAAGATCAGATAAATTATATGAGACAGTTTAAATACCACTTCTTTTTGATGTCAAATAGTCTTAAAAATACATCAAAAACTCACTTGTATATAGGATGCACTTTGAGCTTGCTACAAATCTACTGAGGCGACTAAGTTCGATGCCAAACAATTCACCCGGAACTGGACTAACGGTCTAACATACACAATTCTCAACCTCGATCTATCGGAAAAGGTATATTAAATCATAAGGTTCCGAAATATTCCAACAATGTCTTCATTTAGAGAACTTTAACTCGTGTTTTTTAACAGTGAAGTTATTGGAAGAATGTCGAATTTATATGGGAAACTTAAATAACCGTGAAAGCCTGTTTGTTATCATCCTTATGCAACACATCTATGTAAGAGTTATACAGACCAACAAAGAGTTTACGCCACCACCATCTTTCAATTTCCCCGAAGCTTTGCCCTAGCCATAAAGGAGTTGTCTCTCTCCTCCAGCGGCTTCTTCCCACTCTCAACTCCTTTGCAGGTATGTGGACAGAGAAAGTGCCGCCAGAGTTTGATTTGGCGACTAATGATCTAAAAGATTCGGTACGAAATTAAAGAGTACAAGGATTGTTGAAAGTTCAGACAGTTGCTCATACAAGAACTTAGATTCCTTATGTCTGATAGGAACTCTCGTGGACATACATACACCTTCCATACTGTCTCTTATACACATCTAGATGTGTATAAGAGACAGGTACAAGGATTGTTGAAAGTTCAGACAGTTGCTCATACAAGAACTTAGATTCCTTATGTCTGATAGGAACTCTCGTGGACATACATACACCTTCCATATATATATATGGGAAGCTTGCATTATGGTTGGTTTAAGCCTTAACTTTTGAATTTATCCGATTGCCACCTACACAAGCCATATGAAAGAAGACGAGGAGACAATGTTTCAACACTTCATGTTGAGGATCAGCCATTGAACCTAACCGAACATAACCTTACAAATTCCAAAATGAATGGAAACATTATTGCTCCGAGATCATGGGCTGAGAACATGTGATACAGTTTGTATCACCGTCTATATTTCCCTTTATCGATTTATATTAAAGAATATTGGCCTTACCAGCACTACTTTCTCAGTCGTTGTTGTTACATATGTACCTCCCGTAACTCCAGAAAAAGTCCACGTGGAA